ACGATAAACTACATCCACGTCCTGAGTATGATGATAAACTACATCCAACAGCAAGGCCTCTGATAATATGTTTTTGAAAAAATAATGTTGCCAGCTGTACGTTTTTGAAAAAAAATAATATTACCAGCTATACATTTTTGAAAGAATAATGTTGCCGGCTATATGTTTTTGAAAAATAATATTACTAGCTATACATTTTTGAGGAAAAAATATTAACAAAAATAGATTTTTGACAAAACATTACCAGGAAAAAAAAATGAAAATGATTAAATGACCTATTGAGGTTGATATGCCGTAAAACAAAACAAACTAAACCAATCCATTTAATTGATAAACATTTCCCTAAAAGTAACCCTCTTAGTACAATAACAGAAATGCACTAAAACTAAGTTATAGCTGCACCAATAATCTTGAGAAGATTATAAAGAAATCTAATCATAAAACCTTAAACCAATTTAAAAATTTGGATAATAATGCACATTCTGAGATAAATACTATTGATAATATTAACCAATGTAATTGCAAGAATTCTAACAAATTTCCATTACAAAAGCAATGTTTAACCAACTCTCTTGTTTATCTAAATACTATTTCTACAATTGATAATCTGACTATTGAAAAATTTGATATTGGTACTACTAATAATTCTTTTAAGACTAGGTAGTATCAACATATTTTATTCTTCACCAATAGTAATTATAAAAATAGTATAACTCTTTCTAAATATTTTTGGAATCTAAAAGAAGCTAGTAAAACTCCTAAGGTAAAATGGAAAATTTAAAAAAAAGCTAGAATATGTAGATCTTTAAATAAACTCTGTTTTCTATGCTTACATGAAAAATTAGAAATTATCAGATTATCTGATAAAAACTCCTTATTGAACAAAAGAAGTGAATTGACTGTAAATTGTAGGCATAGTCTACATTTTATCTTACAATATGTTTAAATTTTGAATTTTATAATGGTTTTTCTTATAGTAATAATGTACTGCGGTGCACCTTATATAGCTTACTATTCTATTTGTAAGATTCATTTTGATTTAATATAGCTTTGTATTGATGTTTAGTTATTCTATTATATATATATATATATATATATATATATATATATATATATATATATATATATTATATATATAATCGACTCTCCGTCGCGTTCGACGTATGAGGGTCAGGCCGATAAGTCCCCAGGAAACCGACATCCCGACACCGGCACATGAGATTTGATTATAGTGGTGAAGGCCTCGTGCAGGACCAGCCACACTTTTTTGGAGGGACGAATACAGAAACCTGGTGCACAGAATGCATGCCACAAGGTTCCCAAACGACCCTCCGCAGGTTTTGAATTCAGAGTTGTCCTTCTCCTAGACCAGTTGCCATCCAAGGCTATAGAACCCAGTCTGTCCTGCTATTTTACCCATAGCTGGAGGGAGATGAAGAGGATACATACCTTTCCCAAGGGTATTAGCACGTAAGTGAATGTAATGGATTCGACTGGAATTCGAACTCAGCTCTCGATTCCTCAATCCAAGCCGCTATCCACTGCTCCACTGTGTATCTCTATATATATATATATATATATATATATATATATATATATATATATATATATATATATATATATATATATATATATATATATATATATATATATATATATATATATATATAGTTTTAGTTGGTATTATTAACATCCTACATTGATTAGTTGGTATTATTAACATCTTATATAGGTGCTCTTTATTTAATGATTGCATATTAATTTGCCAAAGTAGTTTTGTATTTTTGATCTGGGCTTTTTTTTTAAACAGTTATTTACCAGTTTCTTAATGGGGCCTTTTATTTATCAACTATAAAATTTTATGTAAAAGCTGAACAAGCATATAACTTGTTAGCATTATGTTAAATTACCCCCTACCTCTTTAGCTTTTACTTCTTAGGAAAGTTGAATGTCAGACTTCTATACATCTTATGAAATAATGTAACAACTTGTATCTGTCCATAAGGAAATTGTCTAGGATTTATATGCAGACAACTTTGTGTCATGACTTATATTGAAATTTTTTTTTTTTTGTTGAGTTTAAAGTTAGTGTAGGTCACATTCAATTGGTTAATCACAGCAAAGCCCACAAGCCTATTTTTATTCTATTATTTTTTTCTCGAAAAAAGAGCAAGTATTCTGTTTTTGAAATTAATCATTCACTCGTCAGTAGTTTAACATCACCTGAGGAGACACATTTGTGGTGTTGAAACATAATTGTAATTGTGTAGCGATTTTTAACGTTTTTGTTTTTATAACCTAAAATAAATAACATTAAGCTCTACTCTGTATTGAGCCCACTTTTAAATTAAATATTACGTCGACAGTGGGATTATAATCCATGGTTCTCATTTTATATGATATATATATATATATATATATATATATATATATATATATATATATATAAAAAAATAAAAGAGAAAAATGGGTTTGATAAAAAAATCTAATTTATGCACAAATTCTTATGTATGTAAAATATATTTCTGCCTCAGATTTTTTTTAAATTTCCCAATGGTATCAAACAGAGCTATAATATAAAAACTGTATTTTGTTCTAAATCATGCTGTTTTGTTGGATCTATTATGTATATTTTCTATATATATATATATATATATATATATAAATTTTTATATAAATAAAATGAAAAAATAAAATATTAACCTTATTGGCATCTCATCAGATGATATTTCATCACAGCTAAAAATAGAAATTACCCTTTAAAATTAAAATTCTAAACATTCTTTTTTATTTTTGAACCTGTTAAAAGAGGATCACAGCTAAGTATTCTCAGTTTGTGTTGAACCCATTAAAATCAGCTCCAGAATTCAGTAAGAAACAATGCCTTCTGATTTGTCCATAAATAATAATGTCATGTTTCTGCTTATATCCATATGGCTGACCTCAAGTTGATCTGTTCAGAGTTCAACATGCCAAAAAATTGTAAACATTCGCTCGAGCCTCCTACATGATCAAGAAAATTCATAAATATGAAATTCGACACAACTAAGTCAATGAGTCCTTAAAATAATCAACTCGTCACACGAATCCATGAAACCCAACTTCCTTGCTAAGTTTTATTAATATGAACCCAGCTTGTGGAATTCAATTTCTTTTCAATATCAACTCATCTAGTGATGAATTCATCTAAGACGAGATTCAGAAACCAACTCATTCAATATCTTAAAAACATAAACAAGAAATCGTAACTATATCATATGCGAAAACAAGACAATTTAACAGTAAATCAAAAATCTATTTCATTCAATTTCACCATCAACATAAACTGTTTAATTTTTACTAGAGCTTTAGCATAACACCTTTTATATTACCCTTGATCACACAACCAAGAACTTTAAAGTTTTAAACAACTTTATTATATCATGTGTACTTTTTTTCTTCTATAAAAATATTTTTTTTAAAACAAATATCTGCCTAATTGATTATTTCTCTTCTTGTTGTTTTTTTGTTGCATTTGATTTAGTAAAAATAGTAGAAGGTCAGTTTAATTTGTATTTCGTCACTGATACAGATTGGCTAAACCCACTACAACCCTTCCTAGAAGTCTTTCCCTTCTTATTTTTTAAAATCTGTGTGATACTAGAATCAGTGTTCTCTTATTTACTAGACAGATCAGTGGGAATTTTGATTCTCAATACAACAGAAATAAAAATTTGACTACTACAAACAAAGAAAATCCAACCTCCAAATCTCATTACTGGTTATACATTTTAATCCTCAAAGGAATTTGAGACTGATACATTTGTAGGGTAATAATACCCCTATTATTTATTTTGTGAAGAATAAAAATTCCTGACGTCGGACAAGAGAGGAATTAAAAATAAGATGATCACGTATTCAATCTGTGACATGAATCAAAGTAAATTATATTCAAAAATTTACATTTAAAAAAAAAAAAATTTAGTTAAGTTAAGGTTCTGTAACATTCATGTCCTGTTTTTGATGGAATGTGGCCGTAATTGACTTTTTCTTTCGTTGGGAAAAAAGTTTTATAGGGTTTTTGAACAACCCCAACGATTTGGCAGCAAAAAGGTTAAATTAACCCCCTGCCCTGATTTTATCATCTATCCAATCAGAAAACATATGTGGGTATATGTGTGTGTGTGTGTGTGTGTGAGGACGTACAGTTCCACACATTCAATAATATCCTGTTATGTTTTCTGTTACATGTTTTTCCTCGCAAATATTTTTTAACATTAACCCTAACAATATCTCTGCTACAATTTGGAGCTAGATTGTTACAGTAACTTGTTACACTTTTTCTTTTACAGCTAAAAAAAAAAAATTCATTTTTAAAAATAGTTACCAAATACATCTAATTTGCAAAAAACCGTAGCGGCAAAAATTGAGGAATCAAACTTTGCTGCGTTTGAACGCCAGTTGAATCCATTCATTCATTACCAATTTATCTAAAATTAATAATTATAACATTAAATTATTCATTATGAATTTGATATTCTCTAAAACAAAATAAGCTATGGGTAAATATATTTTCAGATTGGGTTCTGTATCCTTGGATGGCAACTGGTCTACCGCAGAAAGAAATGGCAACCTACTGCTGGACAAAATCTGCCTCATCAGTCATGTATCGAAAAATACATGATCGCCTATGCGTGTATCACGCATGGTACATAACTGAACTGATATACTACCAATTGCTTCAAAACTTTTGCCTAAATCCTGGTCTGTCAATTTTCTCAATTCCTGACATTTTTTTAGAAATAATATTGCTTATAAATAAATTAATGTTTGTATCGTTTTGGAAGCAAACGAAAGCATTACATTAACGTGGTCTTTGAAGGTAGAAACAAAACTGACATTTGCAACTTTCCGTTGAAGAGTTCCATATAAGCGGTGCGCTTAAAATCTCATTTTTCGTCAATTGAGGATTTATTTATTAAAACAATATGAAACTTTGTGTGGAAAGTAATAGTTTTCGGATGGAAACTTTGTGGAAATTTAAAACCACAGAAAAATTTAACGTTCTTAAAGTTGCTACTTTATTCAAGCAAGTATTTATACATATTTTTTTTTAACAGAAAAAGATAATTAACTCCCGTTCATGTGTTTTTTTCATTTCAAATGCCAACTCGGCAAGATGCTTGAAATATTTTAAAACTACTCGCACGATCATCGATTTTAAATTTTATTGAATTGGAAATACGTTAAAAAAAACATATTTTCTAACCTTAGACAGAACCATGATGTTTATAATAAAAAATCAATTACTCAAAATATTTTAAAAAAAAATCTCTGAATAACAATTTCTTTGAAATAATAAATTAGTTATTAATTTATTTCACCAAGATGCCACTAAAATTTTTAGTAAAAAAAACTTATCTGAATTTCGTAAAGGTTTTCTGCATTGTCGTTATTAATTTGGGATTATTTTTTTTTCTTTCTTCCTTTTTTCTGTTACTTTGTTTTATCCATACATTCAGGTTGTTTTTCCATTTACGACGACTTTTTAAACGCAACAAAAAATCGATGAAAGAAAAATAAATTAGTCAAACTCAAAAGTTGATAAAAGATGCAAGTGCTCTCAAATAATCTTGAATATTTTATTTATTTCTGCGTATAGGTTTTTTTTTTTTTTTTTTTTTTTGGGGCTTTTTTTGACCGGTTAAATTTTTCATAAGATTGACAAAAAAAAAATAAAATAAAATTAAGAAATAAATAAATAAAAATGTCACTGACAATATTTATTGGTTGGAGATGTAAAAAACAATAATTATGACCAGATCTACAATAAACTAGGGCCAGATTATTAAGGAAGCGCTCCAGATGACAATATTTTTTCTTCTTTAATTAAATTTTATGAAAGTTAAAGTTTTTAAAGTTAACTGTTAAATGGTGGTGGTTGGATTTTATGTATTTCATATGCATTATATATATTGTAGACAAAAAACCTTTGAAAAAAATTTTTTTTTTTGTTTCCCAAAAAAAAAAAAAACGTAACGTCATACGATACGATTTCTTTTTAAATTTCTTTTTTTTTTTAAAATCATAATCTTAATCAATAGTAAGTAATTATGAGGAAAGAACTTCAGATTTTGTTTTTAATTAAGAAATCACGTGGATGAAACATGTCGGCTAAGATAAGTTTTCCTTTTATCTTTATTTATGAGATAATGAATGTATGACAAAGTGGAAAATGTCTTGTAATACATTTTGTTCTTTAGGACTTCGTCAGACTAAATTTGTTCCGTCCTGGGTAAGATGATAAACTACATCCGACAGCAGGGCCTTTGATCAAAAGGTTTTGAGGAGCGTGGAACAACCTCTTAATTGCTGTTGTTCCCAGGTCCACTCTTGCCCAAAGTGGTAGCACTTGAGGGTCCCAGCTATAGGCAAATAGTTAACCCCCAAACTGGAGTCAAAACACTATGAAAGTGTAAAAATAGGTTTTAATATTAGAAATAATTTGTAAAAATTATTACCAGAAATAAATTTTTGAAGAAAAAAAATATTACCAGCAATACATTTTTGAAAAAAAAAAAATTACCAGCTATACATTTTTTGAAAACAATATTACAAGAAATAGATTTTTGAAGAAAAAAATATTACCAGCAATAAAAATTTTGTTGGCATTAAATAACCCATTGAGGTTGACATGCTGTAAAACAAACCATACCAAACCAACTAAATTTGTTATATTGGTGTAACTACACATTTGCACAACCGTCCTGGGTATGATAATAAACTACATCTGCATCCTGGGTAAGATGATAAATTACGTTCAACAGCAAGGCCTCTGATCAGGAGATTTTGAGGAGCATGGAACCACCTCTTAATTGCTGGTGTTCCCATTTCTGACCTGGGGTGTAAATACCTGTTAGGGTCCCAGCTATAAAATAATAGTTAACACCTAACTTGTGTAAAAATAGGTTTTAATACCAGAAATACTTTTATTGATAAAAAAATTATTACCAGCAATAATTTTAAAGGAAAAATTATTATCAGCAATTATTAAAAAAAAAATATCATCAATTTTACAGCTACACATTCTTCAAAAAAAAAAATTGGAGAATGGAACTCAACCAATTTGAAATATTGCAAAATTAGCAGCATGGCCCTGAAAACTGCCGTGTCTAGGATAAAAAAAATCGATTATTTCCATTATCGATGTGATTTGGGAAATGCAAAAAATCTTGACCTTCCCAAAACTTGGAAAAATGTGCATATTTTGGTGCAAATCCGTCCAAAATTATCCCATTTAGGAGATGCATTCACAATTACACACATACACACACACACATCCTGCCTTTTATAGATAGAGATTTAATTTAAGAAAAAAAAAATTTTATGAAAATAAAACCAGCCAAGATTGTAAATTTCCTAAAAAAAGTTGGATTATACTCAAAAATATGAGTAATTGAAAAATGGTTCGAATATATATATATATATATATATATATATATATATACATACACACCTTTTTTACCAAACTATTGCTATGAATCTATTTCAAAAATTTTGTTGGCATTAAATGACCTACTGAGGTTGATATGCCATAAAACAAAATAACCAACCAATGCTGGAAATTTAAATATATAATATTTTTTTTAATCTAGCTGATTTCATTTAGGTTCTTTTTCTATCCATTACTTTCGTCAGTAGATATCCCACACTGTGACGATAGAAGTTCTGCCAGGAATGGTGAAATGTAAGAGCCTGGGTGCAAATTTACTGTAGATGACCTTGTGATCAAGGCACACTCTAGACATTTTCATCATAGTGAATTGTTGAAATCGGCTAGATAAAAAAAATTAAAAATTCCCAGCATCCCTTGTTTGTGCACGTTTAGTTGCACCAACATAACAAATTTAGTCCGATGAAGTCTAAAGGATGAAACACATCACAAGAAAACTTTTTCTACATTGTCATATCTATATATATATATATATATATATATATATATATATATATATATATATATATATATTTATGGACACACGTATATGTGTGTGTGTGTGTGTCCATTGAAAAGTAAAACAAGGCGTTTTTAATTCTCAGCTTACATTTTATCCTAACTGATATTTAAATTGAAAATTGTTTATAATTTCAGTCAAACAGGGCTAAGGGTGATTGTGGGAGGCGAAGATGGAATTATCCGAATTTATGATTTGTTTACAACATCAGGTGATGTCAAACCACAGGTTAGTACAATTAATCTTTAAAAAAGAAATTTATATTTCAGCAAATGTTTTGATGTCATATTCATATGTTGAACACCGGAGAACTACTGTTACATGAGCAATTTCCTTGCCTGTTTTGGTCTATATACACCTCCTGAAATTAGAGATGACACCTAGCCTTCATCAGGACAAAACTTCTATATCTACTTGATTCTACTACTTCCTTCTTTCACAATATTATTCACCGAGATGTGGAAACAACTCACCTCGGATTTCCAATAGTTCCCAGCTGATTTGAACTAAATATTTTATCTTTCTTTCCACACAAGTCTGTACTGATTTTATTTACAGGTTTTTAAAACAGCATAGCATCTCACTGCGCTTCTGTTTCAGAACAAGGATAGTAAAAACACTGACAGATAGGAATTTGTGGAGAGCCATGATTGCCCACATTAATTCTACATTAGATGATCTAACAAGGATTGATATGTTGTCAAATCCACTTTCATATAGATTATTTACATGTGGACTATTGTCCTCATCTTTTTTGTTATTATCACTATGTTTCAACTGTTCTTCTCTCCAGCCTTCATCGTAACAATAAAAATGGGGATATTAGTCCAACTGGAAATAATATAAATAATCATAACTCCTTATCCCAGAAATTCCCAAGCCAACCAGAAATATCCAACTGCTTTCTTATATCATTGATTAAAAATATCTTAGAGCAAATGAACCCTGTAGGTCTTACAGAGGATGAACTTTCTTAGCACCTCATGGACTGGTGCTACAGAATCATAAAGAACTGTACCAGATAAAAGAAACCACATCACTTGAGGACTTGCAACAGCAGCAACTAAAATGGATAGCACATTGTAACCTTGGAAAGGTTACTGAATAGAATAATAAAACAAAGGTTGGTAATGAACGATAATATTTAGGACAAGAACAACATGCATAAGATTCACTAGTGGCGCGTAGAAGAAGTAGTCAACTGCTAGAAGTGAGTTGTGAATTCCACAATGAATCTCCAACTGCAGACCAACATACAGTATTTACTACTGTATTTATGTGAATGGGGAGATACACATTATCGTCCATAGGTATGCTACAACACATATAACTCAAAGAGAAAGTAATGACATAATCAAGATGTTGATGTTCCACACTACTTCAAACAAAAGATTAGGAAGGAAACCTCCATCTGAAAAAGTTGATAACAGTGAACTTAAGAAACCTATTTTCCTAAAAAAATTATTTTAAGAGAAAGATTTTATTAATTTCAATCAACAGTATCCCTGTCTGTTTGGTCTCTGTATATCAAATGTTTCCTGATAAGGAAATGGTTAATATTACCATTAGAGATGAGGAGAACAGATACTACACTTAGTATTTACTTACCACCCCACACTGGTGGGATGTGACAAATTCAGTTAAATGTGCAGAGCCTGAGCACATGTACTCGGGCCAGGTCCAAAAATAACTCAACCCCAGCAACAGATGCCTCTTTAGTGCAATGAGAGAGGTACCGCCGTGGGTACTGTTCCCCGAAACTAGACAACTTTCAATCGTTTTTTTCAGTTGCTCTCTGCCTGAAGGCAAAGACACAATTGAGTAGCACTCTATCAAAAGACAGAAACACAACGGAGAGATAAAATGTAGTTTGTCCAGAAGACAGATAATACATTTTGATTATGGCCTGAAGAAAAGGGTAACTCACTGGCTGCTTGGTCAATGAATGCCAAATGTTTCCTTATAAGGAAACGGCTAATATTACCATTTGAGCTTAGAACAGATACTACACTTTGATCCTTCCCAGATGGCCAAGGAATAAAGAAAAGAGTCGAGTAGAACTGGCGACTTGGTCAATGAATGCCAAATGTTTCCTTATAAGGAAACAGTTGATATTACCATTAACATTTCACTCTCTAGCATTATAGTTCATAATATGGCAAAAAGAAGAGCTTCAGTTTAAACTGACACTAAGAGGATATGTGTAAATTAACCCTAACCCTAACCCTAACCATCGTATAATTTAAATTATTTCAGTTAAAGTAATCAGGTAATAGGATGAGTTGTGATATAATGGACATCAGTTTGAAATGAGAACTCGAAGAATTGAGTTTGAATTCCAGTCGAGTTCATTATATTCACTTACGCACAAATACCCTTGGGAAAGGTATGATCCATCTCTTCTCCCAGCTATGGGTTAAATAGCAGGATAGACTGGGTTCTATAGCCTTGGTTGGCAACCAGTCTACCGCAGAAAGACATGGCAACCTACTGTGGGAAAATCTTTGCCTAGTCACTCATGAATCAAAAGACACATGATCACCCAAGCATGTGTCCCATATGGCACTTAACTGGATTAATTATAACCTATCTTTGCTTAAAAAAAAAATTTTTTTTTGATTTGATATTGAATGATCCAAAATAAAATGTAATAATTATAGCAATTAACACTTTTTTTTTCTGCTTGTCTTTCAGGCATTGCTTGAGACCAAAAGTGGTCCAATTCAAAGCCTAGGTGTCCATGACGTCACAAAATTCTACGATCAAGATCTCATTGTTGCTGATTCTTGGGGAATGCTGACAATTTTCTGCAACCACCAAATTATTAGTCGACAAAAATTATCAGACAGTTCTCTTAATCACTTACAAATATGCAGCGATCAATGTGAGTAGTCAACTTACCTTTCCTGATCCATTATTAGTGTAAATAGTTTGGTAACATTTTTAGTGTAAATTATCTCTCTGTCTCATTAATTACAAGAGTATATTTGGTAGCTTTAGGTTAGGGTTTAAAGTAAAAAGAATATCCCTATCCTTACAATCTCTCTATTCTCATTTATATTACAAGAGTATGACTGATGACTGAATGGTTGGGGTTTGTTATCCCTATCCTTAGGGTTTAGTTCATTAAAATTATAATCCTCCTTATCCTTATGATAACTAACGTCTTTTGGGGTTTAAAGTAAAGAATATCCCTAAAGTTCATTCATTACTTGAAATTATAATATTACAAATGACTGATGATAGCTAATTAGGTTAGGGTTTAAAGTAAAGAATATCCCTATCCTTACAGGGAAAGTTGCCTATCCATTATTAGTGTAAATAGTTTAGTCAAACATTACTTGAAATTCTCTATATTACAAAGAGTTTATGACTGATGATAGCTAATTAGGTTAGGGTTTAAAGTAAAGAATATCCCTATCCTTACAGGAAAAATATGCCTAGTTCATTAAAATTGAAATTATGTAATATTTACAAGAGAATTATGACTGATGATACAAGCTATGGTATTAGGTTGGGGTTTAAAGTAAAGAATATCCCTATCCTTACAGGGAAAGTTGCCTAGTTCACTACTTACAAATATGCAGCGATCAATGTAAGTAGTCAACTTACCTTTCCTGATCCATTATTAGTGTAAATAGTTTAGTCGCTTATTTTCTTAAGCGTCTCCAGAATTAATCTCTCTATCTCATTAATTACAAGAGTATGACTGATGGTAGCTAATTAGGTTAGGGTTTAAAGTAAAGAATATCCCTATCCTTACAGGGAAAGTTGCCTAGTTCACTACTTACAAATATGCAGCGATCAATGTAAGTAGTCAACTTACCTTTCCTGATCCATTATTAGTGTAAATAGTTTAGTCAGCAATCTCTATCTCTCTGGTTCAAGAATTAATCTCTATCTCATTAATTACAAGTCATGATAGCTAATTAGGTTTCCTATCCTATCCTTACAGGAATTTGATTATAATATTACAAGTATTTGGTATAAAGTAAAGTATCCCTATATTTTCAAGAGTTGAATGATAGCGGTTAGGGTTTAAAAAGTAAAGAATATCTATCCAGGGAATTTTAATTCTTATCTCAATGTAATTCAACAATCCATTATTAGTGTAAATAGTTTATGACTCTATCTCATTAATTACAAGATGATGATGGTAGCCTAATTAGGTTAGGGTTTAAAGTAAAATATCCCTATCCTTACAGGAAAGTTGCCTAGTTCACTACTTACAAATATGCAGCGATCAATGTAGTAGTCAACTTCCTGATCCATTATTAGTGTAAATAGTTTAAAAATTTTCTTAAGCGTCTCCAGAATTAATCTCTATCTCATTAATTACAAGAAATTGATGGTAGCTATGGGGTTGGGGTTTAATAAAAGAATATCCCTATCCTTACAAGTTGCCTAGTTCATGACAAATATGATGATAGCAATTCAATTAGGTTTAGGGTTTAAAATCTCAAATTAATCTCTCTATCTCGTAATTACAAGAGTATGACTGATGATAATTTCCCCTATTTAAAGTTGCCTAGTTCAAAGACAAATATTAATGCCCTATCAATTACCTTTAAAGAGGTTATTAGTAATCAATTTTTTTCCTAGTTCTCCAGAATTATTCTTATTATTAATTTAAAGAGTTGACTGATGATTAATTTTGGGTTTAAAGTAAGAATATCCCTATCCTTACAGGGGAAGTTGCCTAGTTCAATACTTGAAATTATAATATTACAAGAGTATGACTGATGATAGCTAATTAGGTTAGGGGTTTAAAGTAAAGAATATCCCCTATCCTTACAGGGAAAGTTGCCTAGTTCACTACTTGAAATTATAATATTACAAGAGTATGACTGATGATAGCTAATTAGGTTGGGGTTTAAGTAAAAATATCCCTATCCTTACAGGGAAAGTTGCCTAAATTTGGAAATTATATCCCAAAGAACCATCCTTGATACTGTGTTAGGTTGGGGTTTAAAGTAAAATTCACTACTTGAAATTATTCATATTACAAGAGTATGACTGATGATAGCTAATTAGGTTAGGGTTTTAAAGTAAAGGAATATCCCTATCCTTACAATTAAGGAATATCTATCCTTACAGGAAAGTTGCCTAGTTCAGTTCAAATATGCTACTTGTAAACTTACCTTTCCTGATCCATTAATAAATTTTACAAGAGTCTCCATGAATCTGATTACAAAGGTAGACTGATTAGCTAATTAGGGGTTTTTAAAGTAAAGAATCCCTATCCTTACAGGGAAAGTTGCCTAGTTCACTACTTACAAATATGCAGCGATCAAAAGTTAGTCAACACCTTTCCTGATCCATTATTAGTGTAAATAGTTTAGTATTTTTCTTAAGCCTCCAGAATTAATCTCTCTAATTAATTACAAGAGTATGACTGATGGTAGCTAATTAGGTTAGGGTTTAAAGTAAAGAATATCCCTATCCTTACAGGGAAAGTTGCCTAGTTCACTTACAAATATGAATCAATGTAAGTAGTCAACTTACCTTTCCTGATCCATTATTAGTGTAAATAGTTTAGTCGCTTATTTTCATAAGCGTCTCCAGAATTAATCTCTCTATCTCATTAATTACAAGAGTATGACTGATGATAGCTAATTAGGTTAGGGTTTAAAGTAAAGAATATCCCTATCCTTAGGGGAAAGTTGCCTAGTTCACTTTACAAATATGCAAATTATAATATTACAAAAACTTACCTTGACTGATCCATTAAGGTAATAGTTGAATGACCGAAAAAGCGTCCAGAATTAAACCCTATCAAAGTTGCCTTAGGTTCACTATCCTTAGAAATAGTTCAATAAAATATAATATACAAGAGTATGACTGATGATAGCTAATTAGGGTTAATTTAAAATTAGTAAAGAATATCCCTATCCTTACAGGGAAAGTTGCCTAGTTCACTACTTGGAGTAACTGATGATAGCTTTAGGTTGGGGTAAAGTTATCCCTATCTTACTTGGAAAAGTAGGAATCATGTGAGTAGTCAACTTACCTTTCCTGAATTATTAGTGTAAATAGTTTACAAGAGTATCTCTATCTCATAATTATCTGACTGATGGGCCCCTAATTAGGTTAGGGTTTAAAGTAAAAGAATATCCCTATCCTTACAGGGAAAGTTGCCTAGTTCATTACTTGAAATTATAATATTACAAGAGTATGACTGATGATAGCTAATTAGGTTAGGGTTTAGTAAATAATATCCCTATCCTTACAGGGGAAGTTGCCTAGTTCATTACTTGAAATTATAATAAAATAGCTAATTAGGTTATCCCTATCCTTACAGGGAAAGTTGCCTAGTTCACTAATCTTGAAATTATAATATTACAAGAGTATGACTGATGATAGCTAATTAGGTTAGGGTTTAAAGTAAAGAATATCCCTATCCTTACAGGGAAAGTTGCCTAGTTCACTACTTGAAATTATAATATTACAAGAGTATGACTGATGATAGCTAATTAGGTTAGGGTTTAAAGTAAAGAATATCCCTATCCTTACAGGGAAAGTTGCCTAGTTCACTACTTGAAATTATAATATTACAAGAGTATGACTGATGATAGCTAATTAGGTTAGGGTTTAAAGTAAAGAATATCCCTATCCTTACAGGAAAGTTGCCTAGTTCACTACTTGAAATTATAATATTACAAGAGTATGACTGATGATAGCTAATTAGGTTAGGGTTTAAAGGGAAAGTAAAGAAATATCCCTATCCCACAGGGAAAGTTGCCAATCAAAGAGTATCACTATCCAATTATTAGAAATCGCTATAATATTAATCAAGAGTATGACTGATGATAGCTAATTAGGTTAGGGTTTAAAGTAAAGAATATCCCTATCCTTACAGGAAAGTTGCCTAGTTCATTACTTAAAATTATAATATTACAAGAGTATGACTGATGATAGCTAATTAGGTTAGGGGTTTAAAGTAAAGAATATCCCTATCCTTACAGGGAAAGTTGCCTAGTTCACTACTTGAAATTATAATATTACAAGAGTATGACTGATGATAGCTAATTAGGTTAGGGTTTAAAGTAAAGAATATCCCTATCCTTACAGGAAAGTTGCCTAGTTCATTACTTGAAATTATAATATTACAAGAGTATGACTGATGATAGCTAATTAGGTTAGGGTTTAAAGTAAAAATATCCCTATCCTTATTAGGTTATCCTAGTTCACTACTTGAAATTATAATATTACAAGAGGGAATTGTTTGGGTTTAAAGTAAAAGAATATCCCTATCCTTACAGGAAAGTTGCCTAGTTCACTACTTGAAATTATAATATTACAAGAGTATGACTGATGATAGCTAATTAAGTTAGGGTTTAAAGTAAAGAATATCCCTATCCTTACAGGGAAAGTTGCCTAGTTCATGACTTGAAATTATAATATTACAAGAGTATGACTGATGATAGCTAATTAGGTTAGGGGTTTAAAGTAAAGAATATCCCTATCCTTACAGGGAAAGTTGCCTAGTTCAATACTTGAAATTATAATATTACAAGAGTATGACTGATGATAGCTAATTAGGTTGGGGTTTAAAGTAAAGAATATCCCTATCCTTACAGGAAAGTTAGTTCACTACTTGAAATTATAATATTACAAGAATAACTGATTGCCTAGTTCCCTATCCTTACTTTCAATACTTGAAATTATAATATTACAAGAGTATGACTGATGATAGCTAATTAGGTTAGGGTTTAAGTAAAGAATATCCCTATCCTTACAGGGAAAGTTGCCTAGTTCACTACTTGAAATTATAATATTACAAGAGTGATGACTGATGATTTAGCTAATTAGGTTGCCTAGGTTTAAAGTAAATTAATATCCCTGATCCTTACAGGGAAAGTTGAATATCCTAGTTCAATACTTTGAAATTATAATATTACAAGAGTATGACTGATGATAGCTAATTAGGTTAGGGTTTAAAGTAAAGAATATCCCTATCCTTACAGGGAAAGTTGCCTAGTTCACTACTTGAAATTATAATATTACAAGAGTATGACTGATGATAGCTAATTAGGTTAGGGTTTAAAGTAAAGAATATCCCTATCCTTACAGGGAAAGTTGCCTAGTTCAATACTTGAAATTATAATATTACAAGAGTATGACTGATGATAGCTAATTAGGGTTAGGGTTTAAAGTAAAGAATATCCCTATCCTTACAGGAAAGTTGCCTAGTTCAACTTGAAATTATAATATTACAAGAGTATGACTGATGATAGCTAATTAGGTTGGGGTTTAAAGTAAAGAATATCCCTATCCTTACAGGAAAGTTGCCTAGTTCACTACTTGAAATTATAATATTACAAGAGTATGACTGATGATAGCTAATTAGGTTAGGGTTTAAAGTAAAGAATATCCCTATCCTTACAGGGAAAGTTGCCTAGTTCAATACTTGAAATTATAATATTACAAGAGTATGACTGATGATAGCTAATTAGGTTAGGGTTTAAAGTAAAGAATATCCCTATCCTTACAGGAAAGTTGCCTAGTTCACTACTTGAAATTATAAAAGTATTACAAGTATGACTGATGATAGCTAATTAGGTTGGGGTTTAAAGTAAAGAATATCCCTATCCTTACAGGAAAGTTGCCTAGTTCACTACTTGAAATTATAATATTACAAGGACTGATAGCTAATTTTAAAGTAAAGAATATCCCTATCCTTACAGGGAAGTTGCCTAGTTCACTACTTGAAATTATAATATTACAAGAGTATGACTGATGATAGCTAATTAGGTTGACTGGGTTTAAAGTAAAGAATATCCCTATCCTTACAGGGAAAGTTGCCTAGTTCACTACTTGAAATTATAATATTACAAGAGTATGACTGATGATAGCTAATTAGGTTAGGGTTTAAAGTAAAGAATATCCCTATCCTTACAGGGAAAGTTGCCTAGTTCACTACTTGAAATTATAATATTACAAGAGTATGACTGATGATAGCTAATTAGGTTAGGGTTTAAAGTAAAGAATATCCCTATCCTTACAGGGAAAGTTGCCTAGTTCACTACTTGAACATACCAACATAGGAGATTGTTGATACATACTACAATTACCTATTACTGATGGTAGGTAATAATAATTATCTACCTCAGTCTTATCTTGGTCTGTTCTTTTCTGTCTGGCTATGTTACAACCTGTCTGTTTATTTTTGATCTATCTGTTGGTATGGCCCTGTTTTTACCTGTCAGTTCTTGTGAGTTTTTTTTTTTGTGGCCATGTCCTTACCTTACACTTATTTGTCCATCTGGCTGTGTTCTTATTTGTTTGCCTATCTGTAGCCTTGTTCTAATCAGACTGTCTGGCTCTCTTCTTACCTGTCATTTCTTATCTGTTTATCTTTTTTACTACCTGTCTCTCTTCCTATCAGTCTTTATTTATTTCAAGAAAATTTGATATTATAATTGTTATTGTATCCTAAAATCTAAATTTGATTTTGACTCACATTATAAAAATAAATCTTTCTTATTACTTTGTTCAGCTGGAAGCAAATCAATTGTGAGCAGTGACGATTCAGGTCTTGTGTGCGGTAATAAAGTATCTGAAGAACTTTGGAAGATTAATCTCAACAACAGAACAACAATCAAGGTGAACAGAGAACAGTTTGCTTTTTAATTTTCTCATTGATTCTCTATATGAAGATATCTTCAGGAAGGCGAACAAAGTTTTTCTTTGTCTCAAATCATTTTGCTATTGATTTTCTATATGAAGATATCTTCAGGAAGTTTTTCACTGGTCTTTTTTTTTTAAATCCTGTTGGGTGTCTAGCCACCCTCCTTACCAGGAAAGCCTATTGAGGGAAACCAGTTTAGTCAGTGATGACCTGACCATGCAGCAGGTAGTACTGTGTTACATAGTACCACTAATTGAGTGACATCACTATAAATATCAGTCAGTTATGTGCCATGCGTGATACATGCTTAGACGATCATGTACCTTTTGTTACATAACTGATGAGGCAGATTTTTTTCCATAGTAAGTTAACATTTCTTTCTGCGGTAGACCAGCTGCCATCCAAGGCTATAGAACCCGGTCTGTCCTTCTATTTACCCATAGCTGGAGGGAGAAGAAGAGGATTCATACCTTTCCCAATGGTATTAGCATGTAAGTGAATATCAGTCAGTTATGTGCCATGTGTGATACACACTTAGGCGATCATGTATCTTTCGATACATAACTGACAAGGCAGATTTTTTTTCTTTTTCCCACTGTAGATTACTATTTCTTTCTGCGGTAGACCAGTTGCCATCGAGTGGAATTTGAACTCAGCTCTGCAGTTCTTCAATCCAAGCCGCTATCCATTACTCCACCATGCCTCCTCCATTATAAATATACACATCTCTAAAGACATTAAAAAGCAAAGATATATTTGTATTTAAGTGCACGCACATGCTCACACAGCTAAAATGTAAATGGTGGGAAGTTGATATTATCTGCTATCAAATCCGAACATCTAAAATATTTGTTTTCTCATTTATAATTCTAAGTTTCCTGTTGGCTTATGGCCATATCACATTGAAACACTGGTTCCCCATAGGATCACTGAAGTTAAGGAATGTTGAGCCTGGCCAGTACTTAGATGAGGGACCACTTGGAAATGCCAGATGCTGTGAGCTTAGATGTGTAGGTGGTATGGCTTGCAGCTACATCAAGTTAAAACTGGTTCTCGTATGAACACCAAAGGTAAGCAACATCAAATCTGGTCAGTGGTTAGATGGGTGACCACTTGGTAATACAGGTGCTGTAAGTTTTGATGTGAGTGTGGTATGGCTTACAACCATCTCACATTAAAACAGTGGTCCTCATATGATCACTGAAGTTAAGTACCTAGATTGGAGGTGTGGGTGGTGTCATGGATAAGAGCTGCAAACTGAAAATCAGAGAGCTGCGTTTGAATTTCAGTTGGGGGATCAATATATTTATTTACGCACAGATACCGTTGGGAAAGGTGTGAATCCACATCTTCTCCCCACCCCCAGCTATTGGTTAATTAGTAGGATTTTTATCAGTAAATTAATATCTCAAAAAAATTCTTGCAATCTAAAAATATTTTCTGGCTTTAAATAACTTGCAGTACTAGATTGGCAGCTAGGTGTCATCATTAAACTATTGAAATGGCTAGATATAACCCTAAGTTTTATGCTAACAGTTTCTTCTATCATACTTCTTGCCTGTGGAACTCTCTTCTGGCTTCTTGCTTCCCAGTCAAATTTGATCTCCAAAAATGTAAATGCAACGTCAATCATTATCTTCTTTTTTTCTTGTTCTTTTATTGTTTTCTCTCCTTAAATAGTATATGTTTTAAATTCTCTCACACACAGTAACCCTTTGCATCTTAGTGGCTTTATTGCCTTGCTGGGGGTGATGTGAAGTGATTAAAAAAAAAAAGAAGGTTGATAAGCTGTAACAAAATAAATCAATCTACTTTCGCTGTTTGTTTTTTAGGAACCAAGTGAGCAGATTATTGTGAAAAGTTTACTGAGTGTGGATATTTGCGATCAATTTAGCCATACATCTAATTATGTTCTTGTAGCAGACAACAGTGAACACCTTCACATTTTGCATGAGGGATCCATTATAAATGTATTAAAAACTCCTGGAGTTGTGGTTGCTGTAAGTATATATTTTTTTAATTTTATGAGATTTTTATAAGTTCAGGGTCATTAAACAGGGAAGCTGTTAATTGGGGAAAGGTTGTATTTGAAATCTTTTCTTTTTTTTTTTAATTTTAATTTTTTTTTTTCAATTTATACAAATTTTTGAACTGATTCACTCTTTCTTATCAAATCAAGAAATAAACATTATCCTGAATGCTCACTCTTCTCGATCCTTTTATATTAATGCAGGTGACCCCCAGGACTCAACTTGGTATCTATGTTCATGACACAACTATTTACTCCTGTCCCAATAGTAAGTCTGATCAGTTTGAGAAGGTTAAATTGTCAGCTCATCTAAAAAAATGACCTATAGTCTGTTGTTAAGTGGGGCAAAGGATGGCTTGTTAATTTTAACACCTACAAAACGAAACTCTCTATTAATCATCTGAGAGATCTCTTTCTACCTCCCATCTGCATGATGCTAACCTCCACAAGAGTGACTTGTTGCACCTTCTAGAACTAATATTCTTGGTTGACATGAAGTGGAAAGACTCTATGGAATCCATTGCTAGGTCAGCTGTTAAGAAAGTTGGCTCACTGTGTTGAGCGAGACAATTTTCTCTCCATAATCTATCTTACATATCTATAAGTCTACAATTCCTCCATACTTTGAATATTTCTACCACATATGCTCCAGTGCTACTGTTATATATTTAGAGATTCTTGATAAAATCCAAAGAAGAATCAGCAATATTATTGGTCCTGATCTGGCTGCTCGGCTTCAGTCACTTTCCCACCGCCATAAAGTTGCTTCTCTGTGTGCCTTTTCTATAAATATATTCATGGTAATTTTTCAAATGTACTCTTTACTATGGTAACTAGACTTTATGAACTAAGTGCAGTACTAGATTGGCAATAAGGTCTCATCAACTTACAGTTGAATTGCCTCGGTGTAACTATAACTTCTTTGCTAACCATTTCTTTTCTCACTTGTGGAACATTTTTCTGGATCCATGATTTCCAATCGACTTTGATCTTCAAAAATTTAAATGCAATTTTAATCATTATCTACTGTTTTCCTTATGATTCTTTCATTATTTACACTATTTACATTGTTTGTACTATGGTCCTCATCTTCATTCCCATATTCACAATGTTTCAGCCATTGTACACTCTGACTTTCTTCAGGTGATTGGAATTTCGAACAGAACCCTTTATTTTATCCACCAGTGTAGATTGTGCTAGTTCCAGGTGCCATGCCACTTCCGGATGTCTCAATATTTGTTATTTCCCTTTAACACAACTCTCTAGTTTTTTGTCCACCTCTGCTGTAGCCAGGTATTGAACTCTCAACTCTTTGGGTTAAGTTACTGGATTCAACTAACACTTTTATCTACTGGGTCATGTGTTTGAAATTCCAATCACCTGAAGAAGTGTACAACAGCTAAAACATTATGAATATGGCAACAACGAACAGGACAACAGTCCAAACAATGTAAATAATTATAATACCTCATCTCAAAAATATACTCTTTTATTGTTCTCGCTTCTTAATAATGTTTCTGTTTTCTAATTCTTTCACACTCAGTAACCCCTTGTGTTATAGTGGCTTTACTGCCTTGCACGGGGTGAATTTCATTAAAAAAGAATATGTTAAGGAATTTTTGCTTTATCTCTAAGTTTTTTGGAAATAGAAATTACCTGCATTTGATTTCTGATTATATAAATTCTGCTAGTAAATATATATATAAAATATATCAATAAATATATATATATATATATATATATATATTTTTTTTTTTTTTTAATCGCAATCACCCCAAGCAAGGTAGTAATGCCACTAAAACACAAGGAGTTGCAGGGTGTGGAAGAATTAGGAACAGAAACATTAATGATGATCAGAAAGAGAAGAGATTAATTAGGTGGATAGTAGATAGTGATTGACATTACATTTAAATTTTTGCAGATTAAAGTTGGCTGGAAAGCATGCAGCCGGAAGGGAGTTCCACAAGCGAGAAGTGTGAGATAAGAAACTGTTAGCATAGAATTTATGGCTACACCTAGCCAGCTCAACTGTAAATTGATAAGATCTCTATGCCAGTCTAGTACTGTACTTAAATTAAAAAAAACTCTAGGTACCATAACAAAGAGCTCATTCGAACAATTACCATGAAAGTATTTATAGAAAAGACAGACATATATATATATATATATATATAACAGTTTTTGCAAGTTTATAACCTAACCTAATTTCAAAATGAATACCAACGACCACAGGTTATCCTCTCAGAAAAATCTGAGAAAATTCTCAGGTGCCCGTTGAACAAAATTATTTGGTAAATCCCGTATATTATATCTGTGTCTTTTAATAGTTTTAAAATCAGAGCATCTGGAAAATTCATTTTTGGTATTTTGCTAAATAATTCTTTCAATGAAATTCTGACATTCATGGCCACAAGGATATTGAATATACAGATTTGAAATTTGGTGACAATAGCTAATGTTTACTGGAGATTACAAAAACATAAACTGCTTAGGTGTGGCTTATGTACTTTTATTTTTGTTTTTTTTAAGGACCTGAAAATGTCCAAAATGCAAAAAGACACTGTCCACTTTGAGTTTCTCATTTTCAAAATATGTCATATACAGAATCCAAATTAGTTTTCCTGTCATGACTTAATAGATTATTTCTATGCTGTAACTATATTCATTCCTGTTATAGAAATGGTCAATGTTATTGCTTGATTTCATTAGCATCCTTAAAATTGCCAGTTGGACAGTGTAAGAGAAGGCTATCTGACATAAGTTTTGCTTTGTGGACAAACTTCTGTCTAGGGCAATGGTTCCCAACAGATTTTAGGCCATGCTCCACTTTGCTATTTCTAAAATTCTGGTGCCCCCACCCACTCTGTAATATTTAATTTTTATATATTCAAAATTTTACTGCAATTCATGTGAAGAAGGCTTAAAAGGCCATTTGGTCCCTAAACAAGCCTCCAAAGACCATGGTGTCCATGGGAAGAGAAAAATTAAAAATAAAAAAACAAAATTACAGTTAAATATATATAGCTTCAAAACATATAACAGAGAATTGAAAGGCAGAAATATAAAATATTTGAATGAAAGCTTATTCTGTAATATACTTTGGTCATTTTAATCATGAAATTAATAATGCAAAATGAAATTTGAACTTACTAGAAAACAATTCACTATTAATAACTTATTCTTGAATTGCCCCCTTATTCTCTTGGTATAGTAAGCCAAAGGGTGCACATCCTACATATGCTCCACTGGTGGAGATCATTGGTCTAGAGTTAAAACATTTTTCTAGAACAACTTGTCATGCCAAAAATCATAGTTTGGTACCTTATAAATTATGCCTATATTCATGATATCAGTAGACCAGTTAAGCAGTTTAAGAAAAAATTTTTTATATTTTTACCATATATTCTTACATGTCTGAAGATCATGTAACAGAAGTTTCATTTTGTGAACAAACTTCTGTCTAGGGTTAAAACATTTTTCTAGAACCAAAATTATGCCATGCCAAAATTATGATTTGGCACCTTATAAATTTGATACTTGAGAAAATATGAAGCTGAAAGTTTGTACCCCTTATACTTTTCTCTGCAAATAAACTATTTTGGCCTTTATTTTATCTTTGCTTCAAATTGTTTAGATGCTACAGGGACTTAAAAATGATTTTTCAGATGGTCTACAAAATTTTTAGCTGCATAAATAAACTAAACCAAGAAATAAGAATTCCACTAGATTAATTTAATTTAAATACATCAGTGAAATTTCAAGCTGCTCTGAATTTAAAGCTATCAACAATACAGATTTAATATCAATGAATTTAATTAAGAAACACCTGTGAATTTTCCCAGATTTTTTTTAATGTGTCACCTGTGGCCATTGGTTGATAGGAGATGGAATGGGCCCAGCTATACTCTCAATAATTTCCAGCTGCAACTATATTCTGTATTTATAATCTAGCCGAGTGTGACCTTTAGGTCAGCAAATAAATTCCTTCACCTTTTTTTCTTTTTATATGCAGATGTGTAAAGGTTGGTTTATGAATACAACAGCAATTGGTTATCAAGCACCAACCAACAGAGAAGGAGCTCCTGCTGCAAGCATCCAAGAGAACACACAAGTTTTGCTAGGGACTGAAAGCGGGGCCATTTACTTGCTGCATAACTTTACGGTAAAGAAATACATGCTTCTTGACACTTTCAAAGAGATGGTACTGGTCATGGCTAGATTAGGCATTTCCATGCAAGAAACATTCAGCTTTCATTGGCTGAAAAATTAACATCAATGTTAGTTGAAATTTATTAAATCTTTTTCTTAAAACAATTTTTCAGGAAATTGGAATGTTCATTAACATATCACTCATTCTGGTACTGATAGGAATTTCCTTCCAAACCTTTTCTTCAAGATAGTGTGGAAAGTTAGTGATGGTTTTCATATCTATATATCTATCTATATATATATATAGAGAGAAGGAAGGGAAAATGGTGAAAATAGCTGTTTCCATTCAGGAAACATTTGGCATTCAATGACTGGACATATAGACATCTGTCTATATTTCTAAGATGAGGTATTATGTACACTATTTACATTATTCGGACTATTGTCCTCATCTTTGTTGCCATATTTATCTGATCCTTCAGTTTCTGTCTATATGTCTGAGATGAGGTATTATGTACACTATTCGAACTATTGTCCTCATCTTTATCACATTTTAGCCATTGTACACTCCACTCTGGCCTTCTGGTGGTTGGAATGTCGAACTGTCTAATGGATGTCAGTTATAATTCACCTCTCCAAGTTCTACACTGCCTTAACCAGGTATTGAACTCACAAATCTTTGGGTCCTGTCACTGGATTTAACCAACGCCTTTATCCACTGTGCCATGTGTCTTTAAGGACATTTGTGTATGAATTTCTGGGACTTAAAAAAAAAATCTGGCCACAAAAATCTCCTGAGCCGACCAAGCATAGAAATGAATACAATAGGGGAACCAGTAATAAGGAGTGCCAGAGAAAAGCAGTAATAACAATAAAAACTGCAATATGAGCACTGGTAAAAAATGATCGCTGAAGACATTGACCAGGCTCAATGTTGCTTAACTTTGGTGTGATTGGACTGACTAAAAAAAGTTTAAAAACCATTTCAGTCTTCTTTATATGTCTGTTGATCCGGGTAACTGTCAGGGAATTTTGAAATGAACCCTTTATTTAATCTATTCAGGTAAAATGTTCATGTCTAGGGACATCTTGTTCTTATTTAGTAATCTTGAGTTAAATCACTGGGCCAGATAGTAAAGACTAAGATAGTATAAACTTAACGTTGTTATTTTATACATAAAAAAATGTCTTTAATAAATCAATTGTCGGACCTTGTCCATTTCTTAATATATAGTATAAACTATGACAAGCAACTTATGCCTCAGTCTGGGAGCCCTGGGCAGGGTGGTACTGACAGACTCGGCTGAAAGGTAATAACTGAGCAGTATTAAAAAGAAAGAAAGATAACGAAATATCTCTAGGTATGGACAGGAGAAAAATCTACTCCCATAGATTATATAAAGGATTTAGTTCAAAATTTCCTGAAGGTTACCTGGATCAACAGACACCTGAAGATGGCCAGAGAGCACACGAATGAAACGTTGGGATAATAACAAAGATGATATGTTGTTTTCCTCTTTATTTTTCAGATTTCTGCGGATGAATATGCTCGTGTTCCTCAGATTATTGTCAGCTTAAATCCCATTCACTTACCAGAATATGAGACTGATCTTGTCATTTGTGCCGGATATTTTAATTCATTAGACGTCTTCCACGAAGGCAGGGTAAGTTCATATGCTTCCAGTTATCTTTGTTATATTCATTTATGTGCAAATACTCTTGAGAAAGGCATGAATCCACCTCTTTTCCTCAACCCCACAATTATTGATTAATTAGTAGAACTTGTATCAGTAAAATCATTACTATCGCCAAAAAAATTCTTACAATCTAAAAATATTTTCTGCCTTTAAATAGCCTGGAAAAGATTGATAAGCCATATAAAAAAAAAAAAAAATTTTTAAATGTCATTCCTTCAGGAAAATCTAATGAATGCTAATCTACAAAAATTATTCCCTTTGAAAAAATTTTTTTCTGTATATTTTATTAGCGGACCATTGTACTTAACTAGTGCCATTTATTTCCCTTGTAGGTTTTATGGTGTTGATTTTTCAATAAAAGATAACATTAACATTGAAGACTGGCTGGCTGGCTGGCTGGCTCCCCCCCCATTTAAAAAAAAAAAAGAAAAATCAAAACCAGTCATGTCCTCATCTTTTGTTTTTATCACCTAATAACGGCCCACAAGTATGAGGATATTAATCTGAATGTAAATAACCTGACCTTGTAAGTAAAGAAGATCTTTTTACTTTCTACTTTTATGAAAATTTATTTTCTTTTGCCAGAAAATTGGTAGTTTTCCTTCTCCTGATTGGATCAGCACAGTGGACACTGCAGACATTGACGGTGATGGTGTGACGGAGATTGTTTTTGGCTGCATGGACAACACGATTCAAGCTGTTAAAATATCAGTCACGTGAAAGCTAAACGTTATTACCCGCAATTCAAAGAGATTTTTTTAATTTTTTTATTTTGGAATAAATAATAAACCTGTTTTACAACCTTATGTCAATGTTTTCCTTTTCCATAAGGTCACATATGAAGGAAAGAATAGAAAAATAATTAATAAAAGGTTCAGGCTTTTAGTCTGAAACAATCATTAAATGACACGGTCTTTAATGACAAGATCGCATTTTTTTTTTTTTAGTTACCAAATGACTAAAAAAAGAAAAAAAAGTTGAGTTTGTACAATAGATACCAGAAATAATTTTTTTTTTTTCAAATTACAATAGATTAAGCACACCCAGAACATAGAATTATGTAAAATTTTATAAATTTTAATGGGGGGGGAGGGTCCAGTTTGTCATGTAAATTGATCCCACCGCACACCTATGGAAGCCAAAACAAAATATGCTCATATCATGATTTCTTAAAATGTTAAATTATTTTTATTAAATTTTTATAAAAGTTTATAAAGGTTGTCTTGTTTGCTATGTAAATTCATTACGAATTGATTCCCCCCCCCCCCATGGAAGGCAAAGCAAAATACACTCTACTCTTAAAATGTAAAACAAAATAAAAATTTTGAAATTTGTAATTTTTTAAAAAATCATTTCACTCCAAGCAAGGCAATAAAGCCACAAAGATGTAAGGGGGGGTTACTGAGTTTGAGAAAATACAAGAAAAAGAAAACCTTAAGGAGAGAGAACAATAAAAGATCTGGAATTAAGAAAACAGAAGATAACAATTGACATTGCCATTAAATTTTTGAAGATCAAAGTTGACTGGAAAGCAAGAGGCTGGAAGAGCGTTCCACAAGCAAGAAAGGAAACTGTCAGCATAAAACTTACCATTACATTTCGACTGTAAAATGATGAGACTTTGCTACTAATTTCATAAAGTCTAGGGACTACAGATGAAAGCTCATCAGAAAATATTTATAGAAAAGACAGAGTAAAGTTATGGCAATGGGAAAGTGACTGAAACTGAGATGCCAGGTCAGGACCAATAACATTGCAGATTCTTTGGATTTTATCAAGAATCTCTAAATATATAACGGAAGCACAAGACCATTTGTAGCTGTTGTATTCAAAGCCCGCACAAATGGTAGACTTATAAATATGTAAGATTGATTCTGGCAAGAAAATTTATCTAGCACAACACAGCGAACCAAATTTCTGGAGTGTTTAATTGAAAGAAATATATGAAAAGAAAACTAGCTTAAAATATTTTTTATATTTTAAGAAATCGTATCTTATGAGTACATTTTCTTTTGGTTACAGAAGCGGGGGTAAATTTACAAATATTTTCTTTTTTGATATATTCGTATTCTGTTTTTGATGTTTTTTTTATGTATTGTTTTCTATTTTTATGTATTTGTATTCTATAGTAAAATGAGAAAAAAAAATTATTTCTGACTGTAGTGCCTATTCTAAAACTCCACCAAAAATAACTCTTACATGTCAAGTTGAGCTATCTGGTTGGCTAATGTTTATTCAGATAATCAATACTTACAACGAGCCTAACTCCATAATAGTCTAATATAAATAAAGTCATATTGTATGCAGAGTTGAATCACTCTGGAGGTCATGTACATGAATAAAGTTCAAGGATGTGTTTTCTCCCCAGATTTATTCAACGTCTACAGTTCTGCTATCCTGAGAGAACTGAAGACCCTACCAGGGTTTATTATCAGTGGGCATAATCTTAGCATAAATTACACAAATGACACTATGTTGATGGCTGACTTGAAAAGAAAACTACAGAACTTCCTAGATAGAGTGGTAGAAGAAAGCAAGAAAAAAGGACTATCAAATGCAGGAAGATAGAAAATATGGCCATCAGCAAGAGAAAAAGCCGAAGATGCAAGTTATAATTTGGATATATAAACATCAAACAGGTGAAGGAATTTAAATATCTGGGAAGCATTTTAATGGAGAACAGAGAATGCAACACTGAGATCCGAACATACAATGGACGCATGAAAGAAGTATTCTGAAAGTTAAGGAGAGTGCTGAAAAACAGAAAAATTTTGTTAGCAGTGCAATCCAATATGCCTTTCCTTTGTTTCTATGTGATATCCATCCTCTTATAGGGCAATGAATGCTGGGCGATCTCCCCACGGAGGAAGAAAAAAAAAAAAAAACTAGAGACAGCAGAAATGTGGTTCTACATAAGGATACTGAGAATTCTATGGACAGAGTGAGAAAACAAAGATGTAAAAAAAAAAAAAGAAAAAAAAAAAGAAAATACTCCTACTCAGAATCAGGAAAAGATAACTGAAATTCCTGTAATGAGGAAAGACGATTTAGAAAACTTAACCCTCACAGGACATATTTAGGGTAAGAGAGATAGAGAAAGCCAGTGAGCCATTTATCTGACAAACTTATTTGAATAGATATATCACTCATTGGCATCAGATAAATCTATTGATTTCATTAACAGATACCATATTTATATATGCTACCTAAAAAATGCTAATCATTGACTCTAAACAAATTACAAACCTGTTCTATGCAAAAATTGTTATGACGTGGCAATGTAAAAAACATTTCATTTGAAATTGCTTGATTTTATATTCTTATAATTTTCACCATGATAAAAAGACAATTGTGAAAATATTAACAGATTGCAACAACAAACAGCAAACTCGGTCCGCCGATTAAGTCAACTCAGGCCCTTATCACGCTTCAAACTTGGTCCGCTGCGTTGACTCAAGTGTAAACATGAGCTCTGCTGGTTTTTTAAATATGGAATTTTTGGGGGTGAATAACTCAATGATGAAAAAATTATGGAATAATTTTGTAATTTGCATTCCTAAAACAATTACCAGAAAAAGCTTATATTCGCAAATTGTTCTACAGTTAAAAAAACAAAAAAAGGTTCTTGCAGATCTCAACAAATGATTGATCATATCTAATTAAAAGGAAACATAGCCCCAACAAAAGAACTGTCAGTTGAAGCAATGGAAAGAATTGTAAACGTCATTCAAATAAGCAATCCACAGTAGTGTTGCAAAATACGTTGGTTGTTCACAGTCAGTTGTGTCTAAATTTTAGTGCAAATATAAGAGAAATGGGATGGTTAAAAAAAAGTAACACATAATGGTAGACCATGAATTGCATCAGGATAGGAAACTGAAAGCAAGATGCCTTGAAAATAGAAAATGTACAACAAAAGAAATGAAAAGCAAAAAGGTTGAAATAGGAATCAATGTTTGTGAGAGAACCATAAGAAATCATAAGAAAGAACAAAATGAGATTTACATACAGAAAAAAAAATCAAACAGAAAGCAACACTAACAAACAAACAGAAGAAAATGAAACTAAAAAGAAACAATCATGGTCTTTGGTTGATTGAATAAAAAAGTGATATTCAGTGATGAATCAAGAAACTGCATTGGCCAAAACCAGGGGTCACCAAACTATGGCCCCTGGACTGGATCCTGCTGCTTCACTGTGCCACAGATGAACTAAACTATAATTATTTATATGGAATTATCAATAGATTGTAGTTAAAATTACTATGTAGAAAAATAAATGTAAGTAAAACATCAAAATCTGGCCAATCTGATTTTTGCATCTGACAGTAATATAAGTTTGAGGAAAATCAGTGAAATATTGGCAACTTTTTGCAACTTTTAATATCTGAGCGTTTTTGTGCAATTACCTGCAATGAAGTTTCTAAGAAAAGCGATTATGAATCTGCTGCAGCAATTATGTTTTAACTTGCATTGTTGTGTTTAAACCAGTTTGAAGAGTGCCGTATATAAAAAAGACTGACTTCAGCAAATTATGTCATATATTTTACTTGAACTTATAAAATCTAAAGTATGTAAAGTCAGCACATGTAACAAGGTTGATTGATGGACATTTGAAAGCATTTCTTTTGGTTGGATGCAGCAATACCAAAATAAATATTAGTTATATCTTAAAGGGTAAACACCAGTTTCACAAATCTCACTAACCTTTTGTATTGTTTAGTTTGTAAGATTTGGATATGTGCGCACTTGACATGATATAACTATTTTATTGCTATTGTTGTCTTCTTTTAGCCCTACCAAATGTAAATCTGAAAGAGATTTGCAATTTCTACAGTAACCTACACCATATTAAAATACTAAAATTAAGAAAAAAAAAAAAACTCTAAAACTAGCAGAAAATGCGATCAAACAATATAAATGAGCATCCCTTTTACTCTACCAGATGTTTTTATTGTAAAAGTTGAATAAAAACAAAGGATATTTTCAGTTGACAATGTGAATACAATAGCGTTTTTCTAAATTCTTCTAGTTGCTAAGGACATTTCATTTGTTGTTAATAGTTACTTTTTTTTTTTAATAAATTCATTTCATTTTTTGCCTTGAAAAGTCCACATTGGACAAAAAAGTGTTGGCTAATAATAGTTTTCCTATTGTCTTTTACCTTTATACAAGAAGGATTATACATATAAGAAAAATTATATATTATAATTTATTATATAAATTAATTTAATATATTAATAATAATTAATATAATTTTAAATATTAAAATAAAATATTAATGTATTAATATAAATTAATCAAAATAAAATATTAATAATAAAATTAATATATAAATTGTATAAGGATTTTTTATATATAAAGGAAGCATATACATTTTCTATTTCTATAATACAATTCCTAAACTTATTTATTTGTAAAAAGTAAAATAAACTCTTTTTTCATCGAATGGTTATGGGGATCCACCAAAAAGAATTAAGAGTAAAAGTGGCTCATGGGTAAAAAATAGTTAAGAATCACTTCTCTAAACCAAATGTCTTTTTAATTTTAGGTTAAACCACAAATACTCCATATTTTGAGCATGTATCTCTCTCTTCATTGGGTGAACAAGATTTTCTTGGTATATAATTATAGAATGTCTGTAATTTTTACTGGTTATTTTTTTGATTAGGCATCTTTGATCCTGGATCCTGATTATGAAAAAAAAAAAAAAAAAAATTT